AACCCAGTAGGGAAAGCATCAACATAATGCACCAGGTTTCAACTGTTTAGTAATGTATGCTTCCCTTTCGGGTTCCACCTTCTCCTTTCCCTTTACAGGTGCTTCGTCTTGGTTGCAGAGTAGAAGCTAATGTAAGGGGGGGGGGGGGGGGGGGGGGGGGGGGGGGGGGGGTGTGATTCTGAGTGTCCCCTAGGTGAGAAAGGAATCATGTCAGATTGCCACTAACTCAAATGCACACGGATCACGACGGTAAGAAACATTGATCTTCTTAATGATCCCCGAGGACGTGTTTTGGGCTTCACCTCCGCTCAACAAGAAAAGTGCTTTCCAGATATACAATCTCTTTCAACTTCTTCAAAAGCTTAATGCATGGTTTCTATCACTTTCATTAAACTTGTGGTGACCAACAACTCTACTTCTGTATGACAGTCCCTCTGTTTCCTCTTCTTTCTTGCATATGAGATATGAAGTTGCCTCCACTGTGACTGTATGGTAGCAAGTGGTATAGGACGATCTTGTTCTGATGTAGTCAGCAATCTCATGGGCGCAAGGTAAACCATGGGATGTGGCGAGGACGCATCCACAAGCTTCAACATCAATACCAATGAATTGCTCTCTTACTCTCGACAAGCAAATACTCCAATGCAGAGACAGGACACATTCCCGTAGCTCCCTGAATTGAGAAGGTTTAATTGATGTTGCACAACAGTTAGACTTTTCTCAAATGAAGCCTTGATCATCAGTGTGTTGCAACTCAAGCAACTGTGTATTTTCTCAAATGATGCCTGAAATGAGACTTGACATGAACCCAATTGTCTTTTAAGTTTTGCATGTGCACTCTCAGCCTGTTCAATTCAATGTAAGTCAAGTTAAAATCAAGTCACATGGCAGTTATTAATACATATTCAACAAAAGTAATGTTACCGGTTCGTTGTAACATTGCCACAATGCATACATGCGTCTGTCCATGCCGCACAAATTTGTCCTTGTAAGGAACCAACCAAGTATCCATGAACATATTTGGCTGCATCAGGATAACTACTGAATTCCTTAAGTAATGATTTAAGACGCTCCTCGTATTGATAATTTTCAGAAGATGAATACACTACAGAGTTCCACTCATGGTTAACTTCTTCCATTTTTGCTCTGTCTTAAACATTTTCTTGCATTTGGTCAACACATTCTTATGATACGCCAACGACATAATAAATGTCTGGCACTCGGGAATTATCTTCTGTAGGCATTCATCAAGGCTAGCTCTCTGTCAGTAACATAACTGTTGGCACAACAAACCCATCCATGACATCACGTAATGTGGCTAACACCCACGCATAGATATCGACCCTCTCATACTGTAAGTATGCAAAGCTAACAGAGAATGTCATTTCAGTTGATGTCACTCCCACAATTTCAAGAAGAGGAAGCCGATACTGTTGGTTTTATATGTGCAATCCATAATTAATATACGTGGAAAAGACCCGAATAAGTCCAAACTGGTAGGATGTGCCCAAAACAAGTCTGTCACAGTCATTGTGGACTCTTCAGACCGGATGGCGCTCATGTAATTATACTTGGCCAATTCACCCAATAAGTGTTGCATCTGTGATCTTCCAGCTCTCTGTACCACCCTGTTTCGATGGCGTACATTGTTAAATGGTTTTAAGTGTGCTTACATTGAGGGCATCTTCTCTGTTTCAAGGTTACTAGGATTTCTTTTGGCCGAACCATGCTCTTTGACATATCCATTACAATGCTTTCTCATCCTTTGATAGCCTCCCCGCATATGAATGTCCTCGAGGTGCTCCGCAGGTGGATGATTATGCAATCCGCATACTACAGTCAATGTCATTCACATATGTGGTAAACCTGTGAGCCCTCATATCAAAAGGACAACCACACTTCTTCGTATCGGTATTCTTGATGTATTGTTGCCATCATGTTTTAACTTCTTTGTTGCTCTATATTGGCCACTCCTCTCATAGCAAGATACATCCTGGGTCTTTTTTCCCTCCACCATAGTTCTGATGTTTGATTACAATGACCAAACCATTTCTCTTTCCAACTTCACGTACCCGTTGAGCAAATTCATCTTACTTTTTGAATACCTACAAAGTTAAATAAATATTATCAAACATTTACATTTGGTGAGCAATTCAAAACATAATCGTTATAATTTCGTAGACTGAACTGTTCAGTTGTGAAATGAGTGGTGTAATCTAACACAAATTCGCGCAAACCTGACTTCCAGCAGAGAAGGAAAGTTACCTCGGAAGCGCCGAAGGACAGGTGGGAGGTAGGCTCACGCAGTAGTAGCTCGGGAGGCACGTGCCTATCAAAGTTCCTGAACTGGCGTAGACCGTCAGGAAGCATCTCATGAACCGCAGGCCTGTAGGTCTCCGGATCGAACGGCCGGATACGGAGTGGCAAGGGCTCGGCCTCAGGGTCCATCTCGTGCTCTGGAGGGATCCCGCCCTGTGGAAGGTCGTCCGCCATCTCGAAGAAAATGTGAAAATGGCTGGAAGACAGAAAACCGGGCAAGAATGCGAAAAGTCAACAAAAAGTCAAACCCCGAGAGGGTCGAAAAGGGCTGGAAAAGCCGGAGTGTGGAAAAGGTATAGAGATCGAGAGGAACTCGAGGGAAACAAGCCTCGAGTGGCGGAAATCAAAAAACAAACACCGAAACGAAGTTTCGTTCGGTTGAAAATGTCCGAAACGCGAAGGAAATCGCGAATCGAACAACGAAATGGGAGCTAGAACGCAAGAAAAGGAGAGAATCAAGGGAGGAAAATGCCCTAGAGGGGTGGGGGAAGGATTTTCAACCAAAGAGAAGTGAAGAAAATAGGGTTAGAAACCCTATTTTAAAAGACCCGTGACCAATTGACAAAACTGCCCCGATACAGGAACTTTTTGCCGGTCGGCCACACTCTTTGTCGGTCGGCAATATATTTTGCCGATGGAATTGCATGATGGCCGGTGGACGGCCGGTGATGCATTTTGATGGCCGGTGGACATCCGGTGGTCTCCTATAATGATTTTGGAGCCTCCTACACCCTTGTTTGAGCTATTTGTGGGGTTCAGGGCCTTCGTTGCTCAAAACAGTGCAAAATAGTGCATTTCCGACGCTCAACCGGCCTCTGTTTTGACCTCGGGTCATGTCTTCTGTGCGTGGCACTCAAATTCGTGCAAGGTGTATCCTTTCCGTATCCTTTTGGCTTTTACGAAACTCAAAAGTTGCCCCCTGTGCATCACATATCAATCGCACTGTCTTGTGCATTTCAAATCTATCGCACTGTCTTGTGCATTTCAAATCTATCGCACTATCTTGTGCATTTCAAATCTATCGCACTGTCTTGTGCATTTCAAATCAATCGCACTGTCTTGTGCATTTCAAAATCACTCGCGCTGTTTAGCGTATCACACTGTCTTGTGCATTTCAAAATCGATCGCGCTGTTTAGCGTATCGCATTATCTTGTGCATTTCAAAATCATTCGCGCTGTTTAGCGTATCGCACTGTTTAGTGCACTGCATTCCATCGCGCTATCTTGCGCATTGCACTGTCTTGTGCACTCGCGTTGTCTAACGCATCGCGCTGTTTTGCACATCTCATCGCATTTTACATGCATTCAATCGCGCTATTTTGCGCATCACACCGTCCCGGCAACGGAACGGTCTAGGAGACCTTAAATCCTTGGAAGGTGCAAGACCTTTGGCACATTGATGTGCACAGTTCGTTTGCATTGACGTGCATCTTAAAAGCCGCGTGTTGTCGCGCATTCCATGCAACATGCATTTTATACATCATTTGCAATTCAAAAACAAAAAACAAACACACATGCATTGCCACGCATCATCGTAAATAGTTGCATTGTCATGCATCATTAGAACATAGTACATACTGCATTGTCATGCATGTTTGTAAATATCCATTCCAT